CAGAAAATAAAAAAGAACTTCAGTACTTATTCTGTGCTTTCTCTTTCTCTTTGGTCTTCTCTTGGTTCTCTCTCCAAATGTAGAGTTTCTGCTGCTTTTCTTTCACTTTCATTCTTTTTGTGTTTAAGTCTGAGATTGGAACTCAAACTCCGTACCCACCGCTTTCACTCATTGGCTAACAGTCTACCATTTGACTCACGCCTCCAACCCTTCTTTTACTTTCAAATAAAAAAAAAGGAAAGAAACCATAACTGGGTGCAGTGGCTCACATCTGTAATCCCAACTACTAGGGAGGTGGTATCAGGAAGACTATGATTTGAAGCTAGCCTGGGCAAAGAGTTAACAAGACTTCATCTCAACCAATAGCTGGTCATGGGTACCATGCCTGTCATCCCAGCTATGCAAGACATACACAAGATGGCAAGACTCAGTTCCCAAGAGTAACTAATATGAAAAGGGCTATGAACATGGCTCAGGTGGTAGAGTGCTTGATGAGCACAAGTTCTGACTGATGCCTTGTCCCAGAACCCAGCATTTTGGGAACTATAACTTTACAGGGTTGGAGGCAATGGAGCCTTGAATGGAACACACTCTGCCTACGAGGCCACAGCACACAGATACTTGGAGAACCTGGCTCCAACCTGAGCCTCTCCCAGGACAAGGTTTAAGCAGGCCTGGGGAGGACACCCAGCCAATATCACAGATTACTTGGGTTACCATTGGCTTTTCCCTCACTCCCCATGATCCTTTGTGCTGGCCCATAGAAGAAATGACAGCAGTAACAGTGTCCATAGCTGGCCTCACCTTCTCAGCCCCCAAGCTGGAGAAACTAAGCAAGGGAGTGAAGGAAGGAAGGAAGGAAGGAAGGAGGAAGAGAAGGAAGGAAGGAAGATAGAAAGGCAGGCTGCTGTTGTGATTATGACCTGATATCTTATGGCTTATACACAATTAATAACATTGGGTGAAGTAGTTCATACCTGTAATTCTAATTATTCAGGGGGACTGAGATTTTGAAGCCAGCCCAAGCAGGAAAGTGTGAGAGACTCTTATCTCCACGAAACTACCAAAAATGCCAGAAGTGAAGAATGGCTGAAAAGGTAGAGAGCTACCCTTAAGCAAAAGAGGCTCAGGGGCAACATTCAGGCTCTGAATTCAAGCTACAGGAATGGAACAAAAATTAATAAATAAATAAATTGGTGAGTGGGTGGGTAGATGTAAAGGGGAAATATATTGCCATTTAACAGGCAGGTTCAGAAAACACCTGACACTTTGTTCTCTGGGGAGGGAGTGGGGAGCCGAGAGCTTCTCTCTAGCCTACATGTGGTTTCCTGTTGTACAAACTGTTCTCAGAGCATGTTTGCAAAGGAAAAGGGTGGTCTGGTGGCTGGTGATCAGGCAATTTGGTGACTTGGTGTCTTTCACTGAATTTATAATAAAAAAAAATTCAAGGCCACAGGGCAGTGCCTTTGACAACCTAACAGAGCGAATCTAGAAAAATAATAAACAAATAAATAAAGACCTGGCTTTATTGTTGAGCTTAGAATTAAGATCATAATCAAGTTCAAGCACCAGCAAGGCCTGGAAATTGTCAGATTGGAGGACAGCCAAACATTATCCAGTGGCTGAGAATGGAGGAAATATTTCAAGGGGCAAACTCTGCCAACATGAAGGGTCTGCCTATGAATTGTATGGGCACAGCCCATGACACCATTTCCTCTATGTCTCTCTCTGAACCAAGTAAGCAGATGTCACTGGACCTGCCATGCCAACCATCCCACTGCAGGCCACAACCTCAGTCTGGGAGTCCGGATGCCCACTCAGGTCAATACTTCCCTTCTCTGGACCGCTGTTTCCTGAATCACAGAAAATCAGAGAAGGAATGGGGGCCTGGGAAGCACTCATCCAGCACTCATGTTTTATACAAAAGGAAAACAGCTGTTGTTTACCTACCATTTCCTATGGGCCATGTGCTGAGTGACACAGTTGCCTGCCTTAGTCCCAAGACAGCATAGAAAGTAGAAGGAACTTTCCCAGAGTCACACAGATAGATAGATATTAGTGGCAGGCACAACTTCTCTCCATCCAAAGCTAGGTATATAACCTTAAGGTGCATGCTTTTCAGTCTCCTCATCTGAGGAACAACAGCATTTACTTCTTAAGAGTAACTGTGAAGAGGGACAAAGGGTGAACAAATGCAGCAGTGGTACTCACTAGACACCATATTGATAATGAACAACTTGTGGGTGGGAACAGGAGGGAAAAACTGGGAAAGACCAAGGGAAAGGGTGACATTGTCCACAAGGAAATGTACTCATTACCTGACTTATGAAACAATAACTCCTCAGGATATCACTTTTATAATAACAATGAAGATATTCAATAATTTCTTTTCAAAAGACCCAGGCACTGGTAGCTCACAACTGTAATCCTAGTTATTCAGGAGGCTGAGATCTGAGCATCATGGTTCAAAGTCAGCCCAGGAAGGAAAATCCATGAGATTCTTTTTTTTTTTTTTTTTGGTGCTTACAAGGCTTGAACTCTGGGCCTGAGTGCTGTCCCTCAGCTTTTCAGTTCAAGGCTAGCACTCTACCACTTGAGCCACAACGCCACCTCCGGTTTTCTGGTGGTTAACTGGAGATAAGAGTCTCATGGACTTTCCTACCCAGGCTGGCTTTGAACCACGATTCTGAGATCTCAGCCTCCTTGAGTAGCTAGGATTACAAGTATGAGCCACCAGCCTGTGGGACTCTTATCTCCAATTAACTAGCAAAAAGCTAGAAGTGGTATTGTGGCTCAAGTGATAGCCCTGAGCAAAAAAAGCTCAGGGACAGTACCCAGGCCCTGAGTTCAAGCCCCAGCAAAAGCACAAATCATCATCATCATCTGAGAAATGTATTGGAATATGCAAAAAATTTGAAGCCAGGTAAGGCCTATGGTAAATGTTCACTATTGTTGGATTACTCCCTTTGTCATATGTCAGCACCTGTAAGCACATTCTAGGTTTATATGCTGCTGAGCGGATCTCCCTAGACTGTGGGTCATACATGGTTCTGAGAGGGGGAAATGCAGGCCACTATATCCCTTGCTTCCTTACAGGAAGACTTCTCAGACCAGAGGGCTGGGAGTTCAATCCCTGTCTTTACCCAAGAACAGCAAATAATTCTGCAATGTTGCCTAGTACTATAAAAATGACTTGGTTCTTATCACTCATCACTGAATTTGAGCAGCTTTCCCACACGGCATTTCAGACCTTTCAAAATAAGCCTTCCTAGCTGGGTGCAGGTGGCTCACCCCTGTAATCCTAGCTACTCAGGAGGCTGAGATCTGAGGATCATAGTTCAAAGCCAGCCCAGGCAGGAAAGTCCGTGAGACTCTTATCTCCAATTAACCACCAGAAAACCAGAAGTGGCACTGTGGTACAAGTGGCAGAGCACTCATCTTGAGCTGAAGAGCTCAGGGACAGCACCCAGGGGGAGTTCAAGCCCCATGACAGACCAAAATAAATAAATAAGCATTTCTTTCTTGCTGCCTCGGCTGCAGGTAATGGCTCAGCTTCCTCTGTCTTTCTGTCTGTCTTATTCGTACTATTGAGTTTTAAAACCCAGACCTATATAGAAATCCAAGTCCCCAGATCTTTTGATTACTTACTTATCATACTGGGGTTACATTCAGGGCCTTTCACTTGCTACCACTTGAGCTAAACCCCAGCCCTTTTTGCTTTATTTTTCAAGTATCATCTTACATGAATGCACAATCCTCCCACTTATGTCTCCTAAGTGGCTAGGATGACAAGTACGGGCAACTGCACACAGTTTTATTTTGTTTTGTTTTTCTGGCAGTACTAGAGTTTGAACTCAAGGCCTCACATTGGCTCAGCTGGTGCATTTTCACTTGATCACACCTCTACCCCTGCTTTTTGTTGGTTAATAGGGGAAAATAAGTCTATCAGCATAGGTTGGTTTTGAACCAGTATCCTTTGAATCTCAGCCTCCTAAGTAGTATTACATGCATGAACTACCATACCAGCCCCTGGCTTATTGACTGAGATGGAAATCTTATTAACTTTTTCGCCTGGGCTGGCCTCAAACTTTGATCTTCTTGTTCGCTACCTGCTAAGACACTGGAGTTACAGACGTGAGCCACTAGCTCATGACATTAGACTCACTTTTCCAATTCATTTTTTTCCTTCTTACTCTAGAAGAGACACCTCATTATGCTTAAGCCCCAAATGCAACTCCAAAAGGTTGGAAATCTTTTCTAATAGAAGGATTTTGTAATTCACAAAAAGAATTCCATTTCCAGATCCCTGAACTAAATGTCCAGCCTAATTTCTATAGGACTACACGTTTCCCTCTGAGATTAGATAACAAGAGGTTTGTTACCAAAGGATATGGGTTTGAACACAGGTTCGGCCATTGCCAGGTAATATGGCATTGAACAAGTCACTTTACCTTTCTGAAAAAGGTTTTCTCATTTGTCACCAAAAAAAAAAAAAGGTCAGGAGCTGGTGGTGGCTCATACCTGTAATCCTAGGCTGAGATATGAGGATCACAGTTCAAATCCAGCCTGAGCAAGAAAGTCCATGAGACTTTTACTTCCATCTCCAATTAACCACCAAAAAAAAAACAAACCATAAGTAGAATTCTAGCTTCAATGGTGAAGAGCGCCAGCCTTAAGCAAAAAAGTTAAGGGACAATGGCCAGGCCCTGAGTTCAAGCCCAATAAAAAATACTGTTGGGTGAAAAATCAAGGGTATCAATTGATTACTAAGAATGTATCTCATGGTTTGGCTGTGCTGGCTGCAGTTTGATGTACTGCTGTTGTCAATAAATAAGTCAAAGTTAAAAAAAAATCAAGGGCATCAAAGGAAAGGGTCTTCATATCATTGGCTTTTTTTTTCTCTTTCCTTAACTCCTTGCTTCATTTTAGGTAAGAAAGCCATAAAGAAATGTACCAATCCATTCACCTCCTCCCATAAACCCAGAAGAGAAGCTACTGACCTCTTGTAGGTGTAGCCCAAAATGATGCCGGCTCCAATGGCAATGATGATCACCATCATGGTAATGCCCAGCACAGAGCCTGCCAAGGACACAACAAAAAATCCAATTAGCCACGACCCAGAAAATCGGTAAATGACATCAGTTGATGAGTCCCAACAAGGGCAGTGGTAGAGGCAACCATACCCAGAGTTCCCAGGTCCTTTTTCTCTTTGGAACTCATCCGAACCCGCTGACTGATCCCAATCACTGGCTGTACTGCAGCTGCTTCCCTCCTGGCTGGCAGGGCGTTGGCAGGAGGGAATGCCTGCACCTCCTGGTCATCTGACACTTTTTCAGATGGCGCCTCTGGCTCTGTTGTAGAGGTTGGGGCTGCCTGGGAAGTGGTTGCTGGAGATGAGATGAGAAAGAGCTCACATAAGAGACTGCCTTGCGTGAATTCCACAGCTAAAGCTGAGCCTGGACTTAAGTGCTGACCAAAATGGGGAGATGCACCTTAGAATGTTCGGCCATGCTGAAATCAAACCTTGCCCCAGAGGTAAGATTTAGTCTTGAAAGAGTCAGGCCATTCTCTTCAAATCTTTGCTATCTTCCAAGATCCAGCTTAGTTGCCATCTTCTCCCCACCTCCAGGAGACAATCTCATGCTTTTGTTGCCTTACCTTAATTAGTCCATTTAATCTGAGGAAAATTTGGTACTCAGGAACGTCTGCTTTCATTTGTGTGTGTGTGTGTGCTGTTCATGGAGCTTGAACTCTATGTGTGTGTGTGCTGTTCCTGGGGCTTGAACTCTAGGCCTGGAAACTGTCCCTTAGCTCTTTTCACTCAAGGCTGGTGCTGGACCACCTGATCCACGGCTCTACTGCTTTTTGGTGGTTAACTGGAGAAAACGATTCTCATGGACTTTCCTGCCCTGGCTGACTTTGAACTACGATTTTCAGATCTCATCCTCTTGAGTAGCTCGGATTACAAGTATGAGCCACTGGTAACCAGCTTTCATTTACTTATGTATTTATTTACTTATTTAGTCATTTAGTGCCAGTACTGAGCTTGAACGCAGGGCCTAGGCGCTGTTTTTTACTCAAGGCTAGCACTCGACCACTTGAGCTCCCCTTCGGTGGAGGCTGGTGCTGTACCTACCACCTGATCCACAGCTCCAGTCTGGCTTTTCTTTTTTTTTTTTTTGCTGGTTAATTGAAGAGTATCACGGGCTTTCCTGCCCCAGGCTGGCTTTGAACTGCGATCCTCAGATCTCAGCCTCTTGAATAGCTAGGATTACAGGCGTGAGTCGCAGGGTTAAATGCAACTATGAACTCTGCCATCGCCTTTAAGTCCCCGGCAAGTTCTCAGTGGCTCAGATCCCTGAAACAGCTTCTTCCCCTTCCGGGTCTTGTGAGCCATAAGCCTAGCACACAAGACGCCCCACCAAGGATGACAGACGGCGACACGCGCGGCGGACCCGCCCGGCCGGCCTCCCACGGTTGTTTACAAGCGCTCGGGGAAGATGAGCTCACTCGGAGCGGCATCAGCGACCAATGGGTTTGGAATCCTGCGGCCTGGAGACAGTTCTGACCAATCATGTGGCGCAGGGGGCGGGACTAGCGTCGTGCGGCCGCACGTGCGCTCGGGGTGTAACCCGCGGCTCCTCGTCAGGCGCCCCCCCAGACGCCCAGCGCTGAGGCGCGCGGAGCTTCCGGAGGCCCGCGGGGCCGAGGGCGGCGGAGAACCTGAGGCGGGCACGCGTACCTGGGCAACGCAGGTCCTCGCAAAGTCGCTTTTCAGGGGCACCGGCCTCGCTGCTGATGTAACACCAGGGCCCGCGGGGATCCCGGTCTGGGTTCCGGCAGTAGTTGTGGTTGTCGATGCCTGTGAGGAGAAAGTGGGCGCCGTGAGTTCACGGGTCCGGGCCTGGATGCCGCCGCCGCCCCCCGGCCCCCTGCTCCCCGGGGGAGCACTCACCCAACTCCGGGGCTGTGGCCAGGGCCCGGCCGACCGGTGCATCCCTCCAGTTGAGACAGAGGAGGCCGGGCGCGGGTGAGGGCTGGTCCTCCCGGTACAGGTGGCCGTTGTCCCAGAGGCAGCCTGTGGGGAACAGGACCCCAGCCCCAAAGACCCCCTCAGGACTCTTGGATTGGGGTGACCCACAGAAGGCAAGGAGCATGGCATTCAGGAGAGCTCCCCCACACCTCGCTGAGGTGCCCAGTGGAAAGAAGGGCGCCCGGCCCCCACCCGGCGCTCCCAGGACGATGGTAGTAGCTCTTCGTTTGTTTTCAGTTATTTAAATTTGCCCAAGTGTAAGGAGGCTGCCACTCTGGAACTTTGTAGATTGGAGCAAGTGGCCTGGCTGAAGGTGGAGGTAGATGGTGGGACATTTGAGGATTGGTGGACAGCCGGACTTGAAAGTCATCCCTGTGTTGCAATGTCCATGTTACATAAACTCTTCCCGTTTTCTCCTCCATGGACACGGCCACCTAGTGTCACTTCTAACAGGGGACCCTTCCCTCCCAAGAGAATTCTACCAAAACCTTGATTCACGAGAGAGCCTCAAGCCAGAGGGAATCTGGCTCCTCACTGACTGGATGTGACTCTCATCTCCCGTTGCTTCCTGCAGGAGGAGGCTGGGGATGGACGATCTGCACCCTAACCACACTATAGGAGAGGCTTCAAAACGCCAGGACTTAGGGTGCAAGGGTTGGGGTGGGCAATGCACTCCCAAGCTCCATCTACTCCTGATCAAGAAAAGAGAAAGAGAAAGTGGCTACTTGCCTTTGTTCTTAATGGCAAAGATGGAGCTATATGCCCCTAGCAAGGAAGAGAGAGACAGAGGGAGAAAAAGCTTTCATAGCTACAAAAACAACAACAGCAGCTAGATTTGTTTCCCATTATCCTGGCCATTTGGGAGAAATCGGAGGTAGGGGGTAGGGAGCTGTATCCAGTCTTCTTTATTAAGTTCCTGCAAGAAAGGAAAAGATTGTAATCTCACCTCCAGATCCGTAGGCATCTGTTATGAGCGTGGTGCTGAGGAGGAATGTTTGTACCCAGATCAACAGCATCCTCCCCTCCTCCTGTGGTATAGGTGATCCGGACAACCAGTATTCAACTGGGGTCCTTTTCGGCAGTAGCTTTGCCTCCCAGTCTCAGTCTTGCAGTCAGACCAGCCCTTGTTATGCTTGTTCTGGTAAACAGCCTCTCTTTAGAACTGGGAGCTTCCCAGCTAGCTCGCTGCAGCACTGCGAGGTGTTTTTCTGCCACAAGGCGCCCCCTGGGTCCTAAGCCTCCTATGCCCTGCAAGATCACTCACCCACAGCCAAGACAGGAACTCAGCCAAGGGAAGAAGAGGCAGAGAAGTTCGGGTTGTGCCCGGGCAGTGGATCCATTTGAGACCTGCATAGCTGCCATCCCTAGGGGATTTTTTTTTTTTTTTGGTCGTCTCTTCTATTTTCATTTGTGTGAGTACAGAAAGAATTCCATGGAGAGGCATCCAAGAGGGATGGGGGTGGGGATGATCAGCACTAAAAGCAAAGAGCAGTTTAATCAGAGGGAATTCAAGACCACATAGGTGTACAAGGGAGAGGATCTGTTTGGAGTAACTATACCAATCCTTGAACACTGACATTTTTAAAATTTAAACAGTGTTCATTTTGCCAGCATCAGATTCAGTCCTTTACTTGCATTTGGGGTACCCATATATAGTAGGAGTACAGAAGGGGTATCTTCAGTTGAAAAATACATGTTAGGTAAACATTGGTAATTTTGCTCATCGCTATTGGGTGCCCTTTTTTTTTTTATCATCCCTGAATTTATACAACGGAAGGTAAGTAAAACATTTGCTCCCTCTCTTCCCCACTGTGGGAAATACATTTGTAGTGATTTATTTCTGTCATGAAATCGCACCACATCCATATGACTTAGACCTTTTGGAGTTAGGAGAAGGGCCTTCTTCCTGTTTGGCTGGCAGTTGAAGTTCCCAGGCAGCCTCAGTAAATTGAGAGATAGAACAGAGCGATTCGCCAAGACTACCTTGTGACTCAGGCAAATCCCAAAATAGAAGTGGGAGACTCTTTCCATCCACAGGCAGTAATTTCAAGAGGGGGGAAAAAAGAACAAAACAATAACTTGTACAAGGTTTGTCATAGGGGAAAGCTACTGTGAATACAACTAATTTAAAGTGAATTTGAATTTGCTGTATATAAATTTTAAGAAAGGACAAGGATCCACTGAACTTATGGCCATTTGTAAGAGACATGAATTGGTTTTTGCAATCACTCCCCTAGCTCCTCCCAAAGCTCCTGACATGGGCTGTACTGGAAGTTATGTCTGTAAATGTATTCTCTCTCTCTTTCTCTCTCTCTCTCTCTCTCTCACACACACGCACACACACACACACATACACACAGCAAAACTTTAGAATTTAACAACTCTAATTTGTTAATTTTATATTTTTAAGAATGTATGACAGGGGCTGGGAAGGTGGCTCAGTGGTAGAGTGCTTGCCTTGCATGCATGAGGCCCTGGGTTCAATTCTTCAGCACCACATAAGCAAAAAGAAAAAAGCCGGAAGTGGCGCTGTGGCTCAAGTGGTAGAGCGCTAGCCTTGAGCTGAAGAGCTGAGGGACAGCACCCAGGCCCAGAGTTCAGGCCCCCCGACCAGACCCCCCCCCCCCAAAAAAAAAAATGTATGACAGGCCAGGCACCAGTGGCTCACACCTGTAATCCTAGCTACTCAGGAGGCTGAGATCTGAGGATCACAGTTCAAAGTCAGCCTGGGCAGGAAAGTCCCTGAGACTCATCTCCAATGAGACTCTTATCTCCTATATACCACCAGAAAACTGGAAGTGGCGCTGTGGCTCAAGCAGTAGAGCGCTGGCCTTGAGCTGAAGAGCAGCGCAGGGACAGCACCCAAGCCCAGAGTTCAAGCCCCACGAACAACCAAAAAAAAAAAAAAATGTATGACAGGCTGGGAATGTAGCCTAGTGGTAGAGTGTTTGTCTAGCATACATGAAGCCCTGGGTTTGATTCCTCAGTACAATATAACAGAAAAAGCCAGAAGTGGCACTGTGGCTCAAGTGGTAGAGTGCTAACCTTAAGCAAAAGAAGCTCAGGGAAAGTGCCTAGGTCCTGAGTTCAAGCCCAGGACTGGCAAAATAAAAAAAAATGTATGACATAGTCATGCCTGTAACTCTATCTACTCAGGAGGCTGAGATCTGAGGATCATGGTTCTAAACCAGCCTAGGCAGGAAAGTCTGTGAGACTCTTATCTCCAAGTTAACTAACAGAAAGCCAGAAGTACAACTATGTCCTAAATACTAGAGTGCTAGCCTTGAGCAAAAAAAGCTAAGAGACAATGTCTACGCTGAGTTTTAGCCCCGGTACTAGTACACATACAAACACACAACACAAGTTGAGAACTATTTTCAGGGACTATGTGGGGATAAAAGGCTGAATGGGTCACGTGCTGGTGGCCCATGCCTTTTATCCCAGCTACTCCAGTAGACTAAGATCTGAGGATCGCTATTCAAAGCCAGCCAGCAGAAAAACCCATGAGACTTTTTCTTTTTCTTTTTTTTTTTGTCAAAAGTGGGGCTTGAACTCAGGGCCTGGACTCTGTCCCTGAGCTCTTTTACTCAAAGCTTGAGTTCTACCACTTTGAGTCACAGCACCATTTTCAGTTTTCTATTGGTTAATTGGACTTTCCTGCCCAGCCTGGCTTTGAACTGTGATCCTCAGATTTCCTGAGTAGCTAGGATTACAGGCATGAGACTCTTATCTCCAATAAGCTACTCAGAAAAAGCCAGAAGTGGAACTGTAGCTCAAATGGTAGAGCTCTAGCCTTCAGCAAAAGAAGTTCAGGGACAATGCCCAGGCCCTGAGTTCAAGCCCCAAGACAAGCATAAGGAAAAAAAAAAAGGCTGAATGGAAGTTTCCTTTGTGCAGCTTTCCTTTTGTATCCATCCTATTTACTCTTACATGCTGCAAGAGACCTCTGCATTTTGTTTCATTACACAAAATATATGAGGGCTAGGGGTATAGCTCAGTAGAGCACATTCTTAACACATACAAGGTCCTGGGTTCAATCCCTAGCATTTAGAGAGAGACAGAGACAGACAGAGAGAGAGAGAGAGATGAAAATGAGAACTGTCAATTTTAGAGAATTATGGGTTCTTTGAAGTCGATCCCTCAACCCCTAATCTTTTGCCTTTGTACGAAGTATTATGTCTGAAGAAATGTTTCTCCATATACTCTGAAATTACTTTCACCACAAGTACTGGGGATTGAAGACAAAGCCTCACAGATGCTAGGTAAGCACTCTCCCAGTTGAGCCTCACCCTCATCCTCCTCTGAGGCCCTGGTTGCTTTTGCTGGGTTATAAATCACTCTGTTTATGACAGAGACAGGCTATGACAGGCCAGTACTTGTACTGTTTCCAGATTATCTACCATACCCATGTAGAGAGACCATTATTTCTGGCTCAGAAGTCTGGGGCTTCCTAAACTGTTGCTGTTGTTTAAATTTTCTGTTTAAAACTTTGCTCTCAAGCTGGGCACCAGTGGCTCACACCTATAATTGTAGCTACTCAGGAGGCTGAGATCTGAGGATCACAGTTCAAAGCCAGCCCAGGCAGGAAAGTCCATGAGACTCTTATCTCCAATAAAACACTAGAAAACTGGAAGTGGCGCTGTGACTCAAGCAGTAGAGCGCTTGCCTTGAGCTGAAGAGTGCAGGGACAGCACCCACGCCCAGCGTTCAAGCCCCTGACCAACCAAAAAAAAAAAAAAAATGATCTCAGCCGGGGCTGGTAGCTCACCCTGTAATCATAGCTACTCAGGAGGCTGAGATCTGAGGATCACTGTTAAAGCCAGCCTGGGCAAGGAAAGTCCATGAGACTGTTAATTCCAATAAACCACCAGAAAACTAGAAGTGGTGCTGTGGGTCAGGTGGTAGAGCACTAGCCTTGACCTGAAGAGCTGAGGGACAGCATCCAAGCCCCACAACTGACAAAAAAATAAAAAATAAATTTAAAAAATTGCTCGTTCCTAGCTTAAATATTTTGATTTGCAGGAGGACTTTATTTTTTATTATATAATCTGAGCAGAAGAAAGATAGAAAACAGACCAGAAAGTATTTTTTTTTCAGCTTAGTCATTCCTATTTTGCTCCCTTGTAACTAATTTATTAACATGTTTTGACTCTGATTTTTTTTTTTTTTTAGGGATAAAAGACTTGTTTCTTGGTCTTTCAAAGACATATTCTAATTCTTATAGATTCAGTACCTTCCTTCCTTAACGAAATCAGATTTAGTTTCAGAGATATATGTCATAATCATTGATGATTTGCTTTTATTCTGATGATCCAAATTCAGATTTTGCTTTGTCTCTTAATGCAACATGGCCATATTTTATGGTTTATTACTACAAACTTCAGCTTTTTTCTGAAAACATTACTGTAATAATAATGATACAACATTATTCAGATATATATTTTAGAGTGATATCCCTGAAGACAAGATGGTGAAAACAATACTCATATTTTACTAAATATTTCAAAGATGTTTGACTTTTGATTGCATATTAAGTAAGTGCTAATCCATAGACAAAGGCGTGCTATTATTAAATCAGGAAATAGTCTCCAGAGCATACCCCAAGAAGGATGGGCAGTTCATTTTGATAATAGGATATGTTAGTGGAGGAACTCTAATAAGGAAGTCATAAAATTATTAAAATGCTTAAGAATAAGATTGTAATTGTAGCTACTCAGGAAGCTGAGGATCGTAGTTCAAAGCCATTCTGAGCAGAAAAATTTGTGAGACTCCATCTTCAGTTAACCAGAAAAATCCTGGACTAAAGGTATTGCTCAATAGAAGAATGATAAACATGAGCAAGAAAGCCAATGAAGTACAAGACCCTGAGTTAAATCCCTGTAACTGGTGTGCATGCATGTGTGTATGCATGTATGTATATGTGCGCATACACAATGCTTAACAATCTTTTTTGTCAGCAAAAATGAGTCACAAGGTATACTTCCAAGATCTTTGGAGTAAGATCCTTGGAGTTGGCTCCAGCTATTCATTAGTTCCTTCCTTCCCTCCCTTCTTCCTGTTGATTTCTTTCTTTATTATTAATGAATTAACTAATTAATTAATTTGTTTTTTGTGGGTTGGTGGAGCCTAAACTGTGGGCTTGGGTGCTGTCCCTCAGCTCTTCAGCTCAAGGATAGCATTCT